CACAGCCAAGCCCAGGCAAGAGATCTCACCCCCTTGAAGCCAGTGATCTACAACAAACTGGACCTGCTGAATTAAGGAATGGTGGTACGTAATTTACAGCAGGTCTTGCCAACTCAGTGATTTCAGAGATCTTTTCCAGCCTTGTTCCTGTGTCCAGGAGGCACTGCCCCCCCCCCCCCCCCCCCCCGCGGCCTCAGTGCACCCCAGGGGCCACCTGCCCACAAGATGGCGGTCGTGCTGCCTGTCCACAAAATGGTGCCTGAGGGCAAAGGCGGGCAAATGGTGTGTGGGGGCCATGCCCTGTGGTGATGGCTGTCCCACAGTGCTATCAACACCTGTGCTGTCTTCAGGACTCAAAACGCATGGCGTGGATCAGGTCTTTGGTGCTTGGGTTGTGGTTTAGCTGTGCGTTGCAGCCCTCGTGATTACGGTGTAGTACCTCTGTTAGGTATGGAGTCTGCGGTAGCCCTTCAGGCTAAATTCCTGCCTTGGTGGATGCATGTGTCATTTAAATATGAATGATACTTTTGTTGGGAGAGCTGTGTGCTGCACTGCACTTGTCATAAGGGCTGTTTTAATCTCTGATTTGTGTTTGGCTCAACTTTGAGAAAGAGGCGCTGAGGAGAATGTGTGTTTGTGCAGGAAGCAGTTGCCATAGCTTCGTGAGAGAAATGTGAAGGAGCACCTTCTCCAGTGCCCAGGGACATGGGGCTTGCTTGGCAGGGAGGACACCGTCCTTCCTTTTTTTTGACTTAATTCTTGTGTGTCTGAGTGTTTGTGGGAATATAACACTTGCTTACCAGAAGATGTTTTACACATGTCATTGGTACCCATATGAATATACTGAAGCATGTTCAGTCTTTCTTCCCTTGGCATTTGCTTTCACAGTCATTCAGTTGGAAATCTATAGTAGTATCAGGCAACAACTAGAAATCCACAGTAATATCAAGCAACTTAGGTAAGAAATCGTGTCCTTTCCTCCCTAGTCATGAGTAAGCATTAGCATCATCATTAGTAATGAAATCAAACGAATGCCAGTAAATATGTCTAAGTAACTTTAAATGGTACTTTTAAAATTTCAAGTCTACTTTATACTGACACAGGTGTTTTCTCTTGTTCTTCTTTCTATGTGTTCAAGTATATACCAGAAAGGCAGAACAGGTCCTTCTCTAATGGAAATTCACCTTTGTGCGTACATCTAGTGCCAGAAGGATATGCTGGAATTAGTAAAACTCTAATGGATTTATAATTGTTGTGAGTTTTCCTAAACCAGGAGTGCATTGTGTGAAGGGAACTTGCCTTAATTTTCCTGCACTGAAGTGGAATTTTGCATTGAATTTTACATTGAATTCTCCTGTCCTGTTCAGGACGATCACTTGGCCTTCCAAAAACAGCACTAAGGAGCAGTGTGGCTGTACCGGGTGAGCGCCAACCTGGTGAGATCCCTTGTTTGGGGAGAAAAGACCCTTTCATTCCATGTTGTGGATAATCCAGAGATGGCCCTTGGGTGGAGGCTGTGCTCTTGCCCCCTGGCCATACTGGGCTCATATTCTTTTCCCTACTGGTTGCTAGAGAAATACTTTCTGTTCTGAAGGTCTGGAAATGGCATTAAGAAGTTTAATATTTTTTTACTTTTTTTTTTTTTTTTTTTTTTAATGAGCAACAAATTACAATGAAATAAAAGAGGATGAAAATAAAATTTTACGTTGTGTCTTTTAGGCAGTTTTTATACCTCTTTCTAACTAGAAGGTTAAAAGAGCAAAGTAATATTGACTAAGTGTCTGATCTTTACATAAGTGCTCTTGAAAGTTAATCAATCCACTAGTACCCTAAACAATGTTAGCTTTTCAGTTCAGAGAGGTGGGAAAATTCACCTGGCTTTTCTGGCTCTAAGAGGATGGCAGGGCTGGAAACAAGCTATGATGAGCTTGTTTGCCTATGCCTTGATGGGATTAAGATGGGGTGCTGTACTGTCACTGGGATGATGTTTTCTCTATATTTAATTGACCATTGCAGCTTGCAAACAGCCCATTAGCTAATGTATTTATGCTTTTTGAGGCTACTGCTGAGTAGTGATAGTCTCTTCCTCTTGTGTTTGTTACAGAAAAGCTTAAGGTAATTTGAATGAGTTTGGGGAGAACAGCAGAAAAGCAGGAAGAGGTTGGTTTTCTCATTGTGCTTGTTAATACGGATCTATAACTTGGAGGCTTTGTTGAAGAGCATTAAAATGCATAGACTTTTAATGGGACTGCAAGAGAAAACAAAATGAATCACTGTTACCCAAGTAATCTATCACTGAATCTTCGTTCTTGAAAATGAACAGGGATGTACAAGTTCTTCTGACCTTCAGACTCCCTCTGGTGCTGTAGCCCACCTCTGGACATGTTAAAGCAGGACTAGACAGGGAGAAGAAGGATGACCTCTGTTTTTGGCCCAGCTGTGGTGAAATTTGGCTGGCTTTGAGAAAAGAGCCTGGTGATTTCTGCTTCTCTGACAGTAACGTGGATGAGGGCTCATCTCTGCTGGTTCCCCAGCCCGAGTGTGAGCCATGACCCTTTATGTTACCCCACTGAGATGTAAGTGTAGTTGCTTTCATTCAGTTTATTAGCTGAAGATGTGAGCAACATTAAGGTTCTCTATTTATCTTAATATACATACACAGGTGTGTGTGTTGTAGCAGGATTAGATGCTTTTCACTGGGGGGGAGGTTCTCTGCTAAAAACGCCACAGACAAACACACTTCCCAGACAGCCACATTTTTCTGCATGAATTTTTAAAATCCATCCAGGGAGCCTGTTTATCCAGTCTAGAATAAATTGCTCTGGGTGGAAGGGATCTTCCTGTCCGGCCTCTGTGTTCCCTGTGAGCTGCTGGTCCCATTCTGTCAGGATGGCAGCCCACCTGTGCCTCCCCCCCTCCTCTGGAGGGGACACAGCTGCCACCTTCACAGGCAGGCTGCAGTTATTTGGGATGATAATTAGTAAATCTGTTGGGTTTGGTCTCTGCTTTCCACTAAACCTTAATTCCATTATGTGCAGTGGAACTGCGAAAGGATTGTGTGATGGAATGGGGGGGGGGAAAGGAAGGTTTCCTAACAGGCTTTACCTCTGAGCTCCATTTTGCTACTTTCAGAAGGAAACCCCCACTCTTGCCTCACTCTGGTTGCCTCCCTGTTCCTAGTTTGTGGGTTTGCCTGTTGGGTGATGTACAGTGGCAATAACTTGCAGATGGCTTTGTGTGTGACAGCTGGATTGGTGTTTTTAATCTTGCTCATTTCCAGTGTGCAATCCCCTTTCCCTACCTCTTCCAGGGGAAGCTGCCTTCCTGTTTCCGCAACCTTCAGTGGTGAGGTGCAGATGTTAGTGCTCACTGCTGTTTTCTGGGTGAGATCTTTGCTTTCAGGTTTCTGGGAGCAGCTTAGTGGCAGAGCAAGCTCAAGGTTGTGCTTGCCCAAAGCCTGCTGAAAGAGTGGAGAGAAAGAAAAAAAAACCAAACACATGAAAATCTTGAAGAAACTGCAGTGAAGCTGCTTAATGACTGAGGAAAGGGCTGAGTAAAAGACAAAATAAAATGACTTGAGAACACAAAGTAAGTGGCCATAAAACGAGTGTTTATGCACAAGCAGGTTTGTGAAGCCTTGCTCTCTGCTTCCTGAATGTAGTTAATGAACAAACCATGAGACGGTTTTTGTTCAGTTGTGATTATTGCCAGGTTTGTCTGTGCAGAGAGAGGAGAGATGGAAAAGCAATGGAAAAAATAAAGGCAGCTGACTGTAGGAATGGGGGTGTGGTAGTTTGGCCTCATCCTCTTCTGCCCCAAACCAGAGGGTGGTTTTGCCCTCAGTGTCTCCAAAGGGATTGGGCTGTCTGTGCATGAGCAGAGCTGCTTTATAACAATGAAAGCATCAAGAAGTGGTCACAGGCCGAAGAGAGCACCTGAAGATTTGACACGTGCGTTACTCCTTATTTTTGCCTTTGGGAATGCATGGGGTGCCTGCACCCAGGAACAGCTGCAGGCCTGCGGAGAGGCTGGGGCTGCCCCAGGCTGGGCATGGCCAGTTCCAGCAGCCCTTTGGCTTAAACCTCACTGAGCCCCTCAGCCTTGTGTGTGGCACCTCAGGGGGACAGAGGCGAGAGGGGGGGAAACACTGCCAGGAGCTGGGAGAGGCACAGCAGTTAGAAGTGAAGGAGGGAGGATCAGTTGGGGAAAAGAGGGTAAGAGAGAGTAATTTGTCTTTGTTTCTTACCATCCAGACCTAGTTTAATTGGTAAGAAATAACATTATTTTCCCCAAGTTGATTCTCTTGCACCTGTGATAGCAATAGGTGAGGAATCTCCCTGTCTGTATTTGGGTTTGTATCGTGACCCACGAGTTTTATTGCTGTGTTTTCTCCGCTGCCTGGCTGAGGAGGGGAAGTGAGAGCAGCCCTTGTGCTCTCCAGCAAGTGTGTGGAGCTGCCCTGAGGCACTATTCTCCAGGTGTGTCAGGAGCCAAAAAGGAAATTGTACCATACAGGAGCCTAAATACACACTTAGATATTAAATTGTCTCCCCTGAAGCAGTGACTGGATCCCTTACATGTATATTAGTGAGTACTTCTTAAAAAGTATTTTTGGTTCTTTTCAATTTAAAAAAATTATTTATTTGCAACAAGTGTTTTTGGGCCAGCGTTGCTCTAGCAGGGGAGAGCCACAAGGAACACAGTGGAGCTCTCAGGGGTACAGCAGAGGAGACAGAAGAGATGAGGGCCCTGCCAACATTCATGCCAGACTGGTAAGGCCAGAGGAAGAAATGGAGATGCACACAGATGTGGGTGAGGACTCCAAAGAATTAGAGAGAAAAGCCTACCAGCGCTGGGCTGTGGCATTGAAAGAAGTCGCAGAAGAAGAGGAATGGATTTAAAATAATGGACTTGCTTAACTGAGACTGTTGAATGGAGAGAAATTACAAGTTTATGGCTGTTTTAATGTTTTAAAGTAATGGTTTATTCCTATCCCCACAAGAGTTCCTCTCCCTTCTTATGAATATTCTGTTGTGATGCCTCCTCTTTATGCTCTGTACCCAATCGTTGTTCCTCTTTCCCAAAACTCCTCCCCTTATTCACCATACTCTGGAAAGTTCTCCTAGCTCCCCTATAAAAGGCGGAGCCATGTTAATGAAGTGGTTCACTGTTTTCTAGTCTGTTATGTGTGTCGAACTGTGAGTGAACTTCCCCGTGTCCATATCTGGGCTGTGTTACACAGATGCTGTTAGTCATCAGGGTTTGTGTATTTTAATATGCACAATTCACTTTCACAGGGGGCAGTAAACACTGCAGGGCCAGAACTCTAACCTGTGAGGTCTCTCTGGGCTGCATCCCACCGAGTTTGGTGGTATTTTAATAGGTGTTGGGGGTGTGGGTGAGAACAGAATGTGACCTACTCTCATATAATCACAGAGCAGTTCAATATTGTGTGAAGGATGACCCTTAACATTGCCTGATTTGAGGTGGCACCCCTGTTTTGTACCCAGGGATGTGCAGCAGCTTGTGCTTGGAAATGGAAACACTAAATCAGAGAGTGTTTTTTGTGGGAACTGCAGGTGGCAGCAGGGGCTAAGTTTTACTGAAAAAATGTTTTAAATTGCTGTCCTTCACAGTAGCTTGCCATATGGCAAAAACCTGAATCTCTGCAAGAGCCTTCTCTTAAAGGCAACACTCCATGTTTTTAAGAACTTGTCAGCTCATTTTAAGGGGCAATGTTTTCACTAAGTGTAATGACACTTTCTGCTCCCTTTGGAATGCCCTGTGCTGCTTTCCCCCAAGGTGGGGGGAAAATGCTCATTGAACTCTGATTTTATTTACTGCGTTCCAATTGGATAAGTGACTTAAGTGGTGTATTACTTACATTTACCACAATCAAAATCGGGTCCATTTGAGTTTAAGAAGTGGCTCAATTGCTCAAAGTTAACCCTGGGACTTTGAAGTCCTATGAAGACCTTGAACAGATCTGAATGACTTAAATACAGGACATTTTCTCAGTCTCAGTTTCGTTTCTGGTCACTGAGAAGACCTTAATTCAATGACTAGCCAAGAGGTAATGAACTAATTGTTGTACCCCATGCTCTATGTATTTTTGACTTAGAAGTTACCTGTCATCAAGTGCTCTCTCCTTGAGGATACACACATTTATATGTCTGGTTCAGTCAGAATAAAGACTGTACTTAGGTTTAGTGCATACCATGGGGAACTTGAGAGAGACAAGGCACTGAAATAAAGGTGACTCTTTGTATAAAGAGAGCTCTTTATACAAAGACAGCTCTTTGTATAAAGAGAGATGTGCCAGTGTGCTCTCTGTACCTGAGATCAGTGGGCAAGGTGTGTGCATGTTTTAAGTTTGGTTATACTGGGTTATGATTAAGCTGGAAAAACTTTCCAAAACACCTAAGATTGCTATTTTTGAGCTCTGAGGTGAGGCTTGGTACAGACAAATCAGTGTCTAAAAAGTACTAATTGCTTTTACTGATAAAGTTGTACCATGATAAATGCAAATCCCAGAGAGACGTGCTGATGGCAGGGTCAGTTCAAAATCTGCAGGAAATGCTCTTGGTAGCATGTTTTCCAATTAAAAAGCAAGAGCAAAGTAGTTAGATGTATTGCTGGGAATTAAATATTTCTCTAGAGCTAATTGCTTTTGTTGGTAGTTTTTCAGATGTACACTAGAAAGACAACAGATAGTTTGGACTGTGAAGGACTCATCCGTGTTTTGAAAGCCTTTCCTGGCACGAAGCACTCTGATGTTGTTTTCCCCCTTGTGCTTCTTCCTTGGTGCTGAATGCTGATTACAAGCCATATATTTGCACTCTCGCTCCTGGTTGGAGCAGGAGCATCAGGGAATCTCTGTACTGGAGCCAGCGCCGTCAGAGAGCACGTTCCAGCCTCCCGATGGGAAATACTGGCACATAGTGTGATGTACAACGGTATTACCTATTAAAAAGAGATTATATAGGGCATGTAGAAAAGAGAGTGTATTATAAATTAAACAAAGAACATGATGCAATTTAATAACTGTTCCTGTGTACTGGGAAATCCCAGAGTGTGCATATGAGGTCTTACTGCCAGGATGTTGCTGTTGGGGAGGATCCTGGGGTGGGGGCTCAGGAGGGGGAGAGGTGTCCTGTGCACGTATTTATAGAGAATTAACTCAAGCTGCAGTCATGGGCCCTTCCCATTCCCTTTTCACAAACCTTTGTGTGAATTTGTTCAGCTGAGCATCTGCTGAGAGCAAATGGCAAGGTTGTGTTGTCCACCCTGAGTGCCAGATTTTACTTGTGTGCAGGAGTGTGCCTGTACTTGTCGAATCCAGGGAGAGCTGGAGTGCCCTGTGATTTACCTTAACAATTACAATCAAAGCCACACAGCTCAAATGAGGAATGTTTGATCTTCAGAGCTTATATGAACCCAGAGAAGAAACATCCCAGAAGCTATTTTATTGAATAAATTTAAATAATGCATTAATTTTAGAAAATAATTGCACATGAGCAAATGGCTAAGTTAATCAAAGTATTAATTTGTTCAGTTCTTAGGGATATGTAAAAACTTAAATAATGTGTAAATATCACATTTGGCACATGCAGACTTACCACAAAACACGAGTTATTTGTAGTGCACACACAGCTGAAGAGAGACTATGCAAATATGTTTTAATGATGCTTGATGGGGGACCAATAATCAGATTTGGGAATGATATAGGGAATTGCACAATTCCAGTTTTGGTGCATCAGTTAGCGTGTATTTCCCTTGAGACCAAGCTCTCTGTGGAAGCTCCCAGTCCACTCCATGCATGGAGACGGGCTGGTGACAAAGAGCCTTTTGGCAAAATCTCTTGCAGTTTTCTCCTTGCAAGTGATCTCAGAAGTTATGACCTGACCTTCGGATGGCTCTGTAGCATGTGTTGGCAGAGGCTGGGGGCTGGTGTCAGACTCAGGCAGCCTTTGCTGTGGTTTGGCCACCCCTCACAGCCCAGCAGGATTTGTACCCTCGCTGCAGCTGCACTGAGTGCTGGTGTTGTGCCTGTGCAAATGACAGCACAGAAAATGGATATTTAACGTTGAAGTTAATGCACCTCTGCTCCTACTGTGCCTGCTTTGTACCTGTGATCTATTCATGGGGAGAAGTACTGTGTTCTTTCCTAGACTGACAGGAGATTTTCATTGCTTACAATGAACTAGTCTTGATCTGATTTAGCTATTTCTATCCTGGCATGTGGCAGTGGTGTGGTGCATTAACAGTCTCACAGCAGTCTTCAGTGGGTTCAATGAAATTAATGCGAGTATTAGTCAAATACTGGCTGACAATTTTCTTAGGCTGGGCTCTGACAAGAGTCGTGGTCGGGAAATTATGATTTTGTTATTTCATTTCACTTAACGTTGATGTGTGGGGTGAAATATAAGGTGGTTATTTTTTAGAGTAGGTTCTTTATCCTGGCTCAGTCAGGGACTGGAGTCTGGTATTTGTATTAAATATTGTATCAAGTGATTTGCAGTAGCTGTGGGGATTAGTGGGATGAGAGCTATTTGTTTTTACACAGAAACCTGTGGTTCCTTTTGTTAGGGCTTTGAATTGCTTTTATGCTCCATTCTCACAGGAGAAATACAAATGCTGCTGAAAAATTATATTTTGATTACGGGCAAAGGTAGCAGAGAAGCATTACAGAAGAAGTTAGGTTTTAAAGTGTAGAAATTATGTTCCACTGCCCTCCCGCTGAGGAAATAGCACATGGAAGCACGGATGAGAAATACAACTGTGCAGCCACTGTTGGCCTGGGCTTTAGTGGTCCAGCCCTGTAGGAAGTTACAGAAGAGGCACTCCAGGGACAGCAGGACCTTTCAGAGATTTTGGGTGGGATGTGGGAAAACCAGACTGTGAATGTGTTGAGCATGGAGAAGCCAGGATGTGATTTGTGAGCCCAGACTAGCAGAGATGCTGTGGCAGCTCACTCAACAGGGGGCTGTGTCTGAGCAGGGTGAGGAGGGAAGCAGCTGACATGCCCACTCAGGGCTGCTTTTCCCATCAGCAGGAGCCAGCAGACTCCAAACTGGAGCTCCCTGCAGCTTCTCCTTTGTTTTGGTGGTGGTTCTCACTTCTTTCCCAGCCCCACTGTGCTGCTGGGGAAAACTCCCTGTGGCCTCACTGTGCTCCCTGCACACGTGATCCTATGCTCCTTCTTGGTTCATTTATCATAACTCATTAAAGTAAATTCATGGATTTATTGCTGTTCTCCCCTAGGAGAGGGTGACCCTGTCCTTGAGCAAGGCTCTGCTTGCTGGTGGCACGTGACACTGTCTGGATGTGATGCTGGTTACTTCCCTGGCTTGCCTGGCTTCCTTCCTTATGGAAGGTTCTGAAATATGCATCCTTTGGATTTCACTGTCACCAGGTAATCTGATCAATGTAACAGATGACTGCCAAAATTCAGGTGGGGCCCTTGAAGCTGATATGAGTATATTACATTATGGGCTGACCTGTTGCACCTTGGGTTATTTCCTTGCTCATGCAAAACAGCTGTTTTATTCTGTCCTCCTTCAGCTCCTGAAGAAGGGCAGGTAGAAGTAATCAGTGAATTTTGTGGAGGAAAAAGGGCCTTTCCAGTCAGTTGAAAGACATGCAAGCTCCATTTCATCTTGGCTTATAAATCAGCAGTAGAGAAGTGCTGTAGTTCTGCTTTTCTTGTTAACTAGTGCATTAGGAACAGGAAGCAGTGCATTTAATATTATATACTTAAATGTGCTGGCATTTACCTATTTAGCCATGTTTACCAGAGTAATTACAAGTCAGATTAAGTGTGGTGCTTGCTGACCTTTAAGGAAGGGCCCAAAACGAAAGGCAAAACAAGTTTTATAAATGTTAGGCAGAACAACTCAACTACTTGCCACAATCTCAATATTTATTCATATAAAGAAAATAAAAGACTTGATGCAAACAAAAGATATTCTGATAGGTCTCAGTAAAAATTTCAGAAAGACTTTAAAAGAAAAAAAATCCAATGCAATTTTATTCTGTGATAGCTAGGGGGGAAAGGTTACAATCCTCCATTTACAGTTTTGAAAATACAGAATAATCAGTGCTTGCAGCAAAAGTAGGATTCTCCTGATATTTTTCAATTGTGACTCAACTGTTAAACCCAGATTGACTTAAATACAAGTTTGTTATTTAAATGTGAAAATAATTTATGGTAGCACAAGATAGAAATTGGAACTTAAAATATTCACGCTGGCTATTTATCTACTGGTTGCCTCCCATGAAAGCAATTAATTTGAGCACTTGGGTATTTTCATGCATTCTGTGGGGTTGGTTTTGTACAATTTACATGGAGAAGTGGTTTATTTCCAAATTACACCTTGTACGCTGAAGAAATTTCCCCAAAGTGGCATTGCTGGCGTTGCCTGTTGAAGTTACCCATGGAGAGCCTGAATTCCTCCCTTTGCCTGGTGGCTGCCTCAGCCCCTTCCTGCCAGGAGCAAAAATGCTCTTCCCATCATGCAGTTCTGCAGCTGGAAGCCCCTTCAGTCCCAGTTTGGGGCAGCTTGTGCTCATGGCCTGAGTGTGAAAACCAGGAAAATTTGAGCAGCTGAAGAAAATGCTCCTGCTTTTCTGTCAGGCTGAGGCCGGGGGTGGCAATGCCCCTCTGAAGATAGATATTGGCAAACTTTGGCAGCTTTGGGATGACCCTCTTCCAAAATGGGAAAATTACCCCAGGTGTCAGCATTGCCACAAGTGCTCTCCTGAGTCTTTCCTTGTCATCTGACTTGGTTATGGAGATTGGCTTGGTTTTGTCTATCTCCCCTGAGCATCCATATGTATGAGAGAGAGAGATTTTATTAGTTTTTCTCCATCAAATGCAGAGTCGTCTCAGCACGGATTCTGTGCATGTGTGTGCCCTTTGACATGCTTTCCTAGCATGGTGACAAAAGCAAACATTTTGGCTGGTCAACAGAACTATCATACAGATTTTAACCTTAATATTGCTTTTAGGCTGTTTTCCCCACATTGCCTGTGGTGGGCTGCAATTTCTTCTTCCCTTTTACCAGGAGCACTGGAACTGCTCTGTCACTGATTTCACTGGTGTCATCTCTTTCCCAAAGGAAAAGATACAGCTGATTCTCCTTTCGATGAGAGTCAACTCCTGTCCCACTCCTGACTATGCAGAGCTGAGTAAGCTCACCCTGGGATTTTGCAGACTCTCCTCTGTGACCGGTTACATTTCCATGGTGCTATCCAATATCTTCCCAGAACTGTTTTGCTTTTCCACCTATGTTCCCACTGAGGTTCAGCTAAGGAAGGACGATGAGCTGTGGGACAGCATGCTGACCTGCAGTAGCCATATATGAGTTACAGGTCTCAGGGTCTCTTCTTTCTTTTTTATCAGGCAGAATCCTCTCATTTCTCAAAAATACTTAATAATAAAAAGTTACTTTGGATTGCTTGAGCATTACACTTTCTCAATTACTGTTTGACGAAAAGGTGGGTTCAGGGATGCCCACTGGTAGTAGCTTGGAATACATTTTGAAAACCAGTTCTGTAATATACCTCTTGCCTGTGATTTTGTTGCTTATTCTGGGTGTGCTGTTTTGTCCAAACACCCACAGCTGAAGATTATGGGCATTGCAGTAGCAAAGCCTAGCAATTATATCCCCTCTCCTGTGCCAACCTGGAAGCTAATGCCCGTGTCCCTTTGTTTCTCTTCCTTTGTTCCCTGGTAGAAAGGAAAATGCCCCTGGCCTTTCACCTTGGTTTTACGTTTTAGAAGTTCTACAGGTTTTTCTAAAGATGGACAGAATTTTCCATAGGGGACAGGCACCACATTGTGTCTGCAGGGTGGCCCAAAACCCAGACCTGAGACATACAGGCTAAGGGCTTTCTTTCCTTGAGCAAAGGGCTATCCTTCGCTTTCAGGAGCCCAGCACTGAAATTGCCAGTCTGACTCCCAAAATTGAATATGGATGAAGATTCCTCCCAGAAAAAAGGTGGCTGACACAAAGCTCTTGCTGCCCATGGAGTGCCCAGGGTAGCCCACAGCCTGTCCCTGACACCCAAAAGTTACAGGCTTTCTTTCCTTGGGGAAAGGGGAGTCATTTGCTTTCATGAGCCCAGCGCTGAAATAGCCAGTCTGAGTCCAAAAATTGAATATGGACAAAGATTCCTCCCAGACCTGAGGTGGCAAGGATCTGTCCTGAGGCAGACACTGCTTTAATGTATTTCACACGAATTTAGAAGCACATGCAGAGAGGGAGAGCAGATCAATGTTTAATTATGCAAATAGTCTTCCAGACTTTAATATTAAATTGGAATAAACCTGTCACTACAGCTGCACTGGGGGCAGGCAGTGAGTGAGCTGCTGTGCTCGTGCTGGGTTAGCAGGGGAGACGTGGTGGATTGGATGCAGGGGGTCAGGGTCTGGCTGGCATCACTGGAGAGCTGCCCCAGGGGCTGAGCTATACCCAGCTCCCACTCACAAAGGCAGAGATGAAGTTTCTGGGTGACAATTGGTATAGCTGGATCTGGCTATAGCATAGATTTGTACAGTACTGTTATTTAAAGCTCTCTCGGTGTTAGTTCAGGCTCTGCTTGGCTCACCTGATGTGGATGTATGAAGACACTTGTCTCCAGTGCTCTGCTGGCAGATGTGGCTGCAGTGACTTTCATGGTGAGGTACTGCACTCTGACAAGCCTGTGTTTCGTTGGGCTTTTTAATGAGGAACTCATTTAATTGTGCTAGACTTGATGAGCTTGTGTGGGAATCCAACTATGAAATTTCCTCTTGGTGAGAGCTTCACCAGGAGAGTGGGAATTACCTCCCTTCCTTGAAGGGCTTCCTTGCTGTTTGTGGGCACTGTCCATGGAGTCATGAAGCCCCCTTGTCTGGAGGGGGCAGATATGGATGCACAAGTGTTGTGATGTTGCAAGAAATCTGCACTCAGTTGCCAGTCTTGTCCTACTTAAAAGCATTGTTGCTCTTTACTCTTTAATATGGTACCTCTTCTGTTTTAATTAAAACTTTCATAGGGCCATTCACACCTCTGTTCATTTTATCCACCCATTTCAGCTTCCCTATGTTTCCCAAGTTCCTGCTGAGCCCCGTGAGGAAGGAGTGTGTGCCTCCTGGCAGAGATGAGGCTGTTTGGCCATTTGGGCGTGTTCAAATTTGGAGGAAAGGTAAAATCTTCACACTGCAAAGAAGCTTTTAGGAAACACATGTATGTATTTTTCTATTTAATCTCTCCTTTTAACCATCAGGGAGTGTCCCCAGTCCCTGGTGCTTGTGTCCAGTGCGGTGGCAAAGCACATGGTTAATACAGCTGGTGTGTTTCTCTTAAAGTGGTGTTGAAGCTTTGTGGGTCTCCCTTTCCTGTGCCCATTTTTGGGACCATTTCTGCTTTTGTTTGTTTTACTGTTCTGTTTTTATACCCTGCTGGATCTGCATGTGGATGAGCAGAATTGCTCATCTGTGAGCTCTTCTGGGGGACATGGTAGGGAGGGGCACATTTCTGATACCCTACTTGCCTGGTGGTTGTGTTCAGCATGGCTCTTACCTTGCATTGTAAAGATAATGGAGGAGGAAGAGGAATATTGCCTGCTGCTGTGTTAGATTAGGTAATGATTTTCTAGCTCTCACAAGCTCTATCAGGTTTGTTTCGGTGCCCACACAGAGCCTTGATTCACTTTCAAAAGAAAGTCTTGAATTATGCAAAGACTAAGCTATGAGTAGCAGAACTACTGCTGAGCATGGTTTTACACTGCCTCTGCTGAATATTCATGGTAATCAAAGATCACAACTTTGCTGGAGTTAAAATATTTTTTTTTAAAACCTGCACAATATGTGTTGATACAAATATCAAATAGCTCTGTTACCTCCCCTAAAGCAGCATTTTCTCAGGCAGTGGACAGAGGAAATGAAAACACAGTTCATGATAGGATTTTGGGTACAAAAACAAGCACTTCAAACTGTTAATTCTTATTCTTTGTCTTTGGTCTTAATACAGTTCAAAACCAGAAGATGACCAAAGGCATTCCTATACCCAAACTGAGATAAGGGAGTTTAGTTGCCATCTACCATGTTTCTGAGGTGTTTATTATGAGAAGAGGTGTCACGAGGTGCATGGTAGAAAATAAAAGTATTTGTCAGTGCAGGTTTGTAGAACTGTCTCGTGCTCAAAGGCTTGCTCAGGGTGGGGGGAGGCTTGTGTCTAGTTGAGAAGGGGATGGTTAGAAATGAAGCAGGGCCAGTATTTGCCTGTTTGCTTTTATGATATGCTAAGGTACCTGCTTTTCCCCTTTGGGGTCTGCATGTTTCATGAGTAGGGTTTTGCAGCAGGGAGAGAAGGTAATTGAAAACATTTTTGGGCTGTGACAACGAGCTTTTCCCTCTAACAGAATCATGTTTTGCTGTTTTGCCTCTCAGCTTGCTGACAAGATGATAAAAGGTAGCGTGGTGTGTGTGCCTTGATAAAACAGGAGCTTTACCTCCAGAGGTAGGTAGATAATTTAAAAAATGCTCTGCTTGAGAATGAGAGGACAGGGTGCTGTAGCTAATTTAACATGCTGATATGGGGAGAGGGATTGATCTCTGATCAGGGAGTGATTTAGGGGGTAGGCAGGATGTGAAACTGGGTTTCTGTTTAGCCTCAGGTGTGGGACAGTCTCAGAGGTGCCAGTAAAGTCACTGCTGAAATCACTGCTCCTGACCCTGACTGGGGGGGCAACACTAGGGAGCAGCTGCAAATGAAGGGGCTGGAAGGGGCCTCCGAGGACAGGAGGGGATCACCTGGTAATTTAGGGGATTTTGATCTTTCTGGTGGTTTTGTGCTAAGTAGGGGCATCCCAGCAAGGTATAGAGGGCAGCATTGGCAGTGAGTTTCCTTACTGTTGTTGAGGAAGGGTGAGATTTGAGGAAGGATGAGGGATTATGTTTATTTCTGATGCTTGGAGGTGACTGAAAGCTTAGACTGCAATTCTGCCTGATCAGCAGAGGGGCAGAAGGTGAGGAAGAATATAGATGTTAGTGGTGCAAGCATATGGAGAAAGCAGAGAGGAGGGAAAGGGAGAAGGGATTCACAGATGGAAGGTAGAAATACAGTGAGTGATGGGGAAGAAAAGCCTTTCTGCCAGACACATCCCCTTTTCCATTCCCGGGAGAGGCTGTTCGCCAGTGAGGAGCTCGGGTACCTGCAGATGGCAGCTGCAACACAGGAGATGGAGTTTGCCAGGTCTCTGTCAGCAAAATAAAGACCAGTATGAATTCAAGGGGAGAAAACAGCCACATTTCTCAGTCTGCAGTCTGGATCTGTCTGTGCTACTGGCTGCCTGCTGTAAAAGAGCTTCCAGACAACAGACCTGATGGCAGACCAGGGGCTGTGAGGACTTTGTGGTGCTCCTCTGTCAGGGTTTAATAGGGGCCAGGAAGGAACCAGCACTACACCCTCATAATCCACGTAGTTAAAACAGCTGAGAAAACAGAGGAGGAGGATCAGGCACCGCTTCCCAGCTGGCTTATGGTTGCAGCATGGAGAATGAGGCCTTGAGAACTACAAAAGCATAGAGGAAAGACCCTGCAGGTTTTCACTGTTCAAACCTAAATCCTTCCAGCCGGCCACTGGGTGCAGCATAGCCCTGTTGTTGATGGTTGCAGTGCTGGGCCCAGGCAGTGAAACAGCCACAACTGCTTGGAAAAGCCCTCAGGGGAAAAAAGGTCAAAGACTCGAATAGGACAGTGGCAAGAGCTGTTAACTGAAAAATCAGCAAATGGTATGATGAGCAAAGGATGACCTGGCAATCCTTTCTCTTATCCCACCAGCATCTCTCTCTTTTTTCCCTCTTTACTGCTCTGCTTTTATGTTCCCTTTGGGATAATGCAGACAACAGGCAATCAGGCAAGACTTTGCAGGGAAGATTAGGAATAAGTGTTATATTTTGGGGGGGTTTTGGTAGCATAATAGAAAAATACCAGGGCATTTTTTTTTTCAAAACCAACTCAATCCTTGTTGCTGTGGATCACAGGGCATAAAAATAAAGTGGTCTGATTGCTGCACTTTATATATGATGCATATGGATGCATTTAAACACATACTGATACTGTAAACTCTGTCCATCCAGATTAGGTTTGAACCCCAGCACACCTTTTAAGCCACTTTAGGGCTGCTTTGTGGCCTAGATTTCTGTATCCTGAAGAAGTTAACAGTAAAAGTTGTTTTGGTGCTTCCTGGTTTGAGGGGTGAGTTTGGGTAAACCTGTATGGCTCTTAGGGAAAATGTCAGAGAGAAGCAGAGCTCAGGTTTTCAGGTTTTTTGAAAGCTTTAAGTGTCTTCCAATAACCTGAATTTATAGCTGTTTGTAAAGGATGCAGCAGAGTAGAGCAAGTTGGGGAACTCCTGCTGGAGACAGAAATTTGCCTTCAAGTAGTAGGCACAGGCTCTTGCTGCTGCTGCTGGCAAGGAGCTCACAGCCTCTATTATTTGATGGTTGAAAGCATCTTAGAGCTGTTTAAACTTAGAGCAGTTTGAGAGGAAAGCAACAGAGTGGAACACGCTGTTTGTACGGGTGACGTGAGCCCATGTGAACATGGGCTGTGTGCCTCTGAGGGGTTTGTCATCTCTGGGGCTGCCTACCAGTGCTTGGCTCACCCCAGCAATCCTGAGCTGCAGCACTGGGATTTGAGCTGTGAACAACGTGATCATAAAAACAACAGCTCTAAGTAGAGGGCTTGGAAAATGCTTTTGGAAAATGAGGAAGCAGAAACCCAATCAAAAATGCTTTCTCCCAGAAAAAAGACATGCCAAGGAACTGTTCTTCCCTGAAATATCAGCCCTGAGGAGCTCCTGCCTGGGGCTGAAGATGTAGCTGTCAAATGAAATGAGTGTGACTAGATCTGAGACACTCTCCTTGCTGCAGGTGTGTGTGCAAGTCCCTTAGGAGTCAGGACATGTCTATTGGGCACAACAGGTAACAGCCAACAGCTTATGTAAGTAAGGAGAGGTGGGTAGGATGAGCTTAGCTAGAGCATCCTGAAAGCAAAAACATGCTCTGTAAGAAAGATCTTAACTGAGATTTTAATTCCCTGGACTTACCATAGTGGAAGTGGCTTTAAAGGAAGGACATAGGGATTGTTTCTCTGTTGGGAACACAGTTCTCTGCCAACACACGGAGCAAAATGCAAGGTCTTGGCACTTCCTCATTTTCTTTATACTGATCTGCTGCTTCAGAATGAAATTCTGCTCTGTGCAGCATTTGGCCCTTAAACCTTTGCAAACATACAGCAGTGCTTGAAAAAAAGCAAAACAAAACAAAAAACCCCCCAAAACTACACAGTAACATGTAGTTTTTCCAATATACTTTGAGAACTGCACATTTCCAGTGTCTTCCAGCTTTTTATGGACCAGAGGTTGCAGAGATGTATTTGGTTTTAAATTAGGCTGAGGTTGTCTTTTATGCATGTGGCCTAAGAAACCTGAATTTAAAGCAAGTACAGCACTATGGCACCACAGTGAATTCATGAGGCCTGGAAGGACCTCCAGGGAGCATCATTCTCCCACCATTCTCCTGTACAACAGACTCCTCTGATGAGGAGAGAAGTGTGGAAGCCTCTGCAGTAGCCCTGGTGTGTTCTCTGTGAGGAAAGGAGGTTCAGGGTGAAACAGGAGGCCAGGCCCAAAAAAGTTAACTAAGACATTTGGGCCTTTTAACAAGCTACCAACATCCAAAACTATCTGTGCTCGTTCTGTTCTACTTACTGGACCAAAGCTTAAGAGAATAGTACAAGAACATGTAATAGGCTTAGAGGTAATAAATTAGAAATGCAGTAGGATAAGGTAGACATTTGAATAGAAGAAATAGGCCGGGAGCCAAGGCCTTCTCCAAGCCTCAGTGAGCGGGTCAAGAACAATAGAAGAGAAGGGAGGTGAGGCCGAGGAAGACGAGAATTAGCCCCCAGACCCATGGGATGAAGAGTGGATGTCCCACCAAAATTGAGGGCCAAGAGAAGGACTGCCCCAAGCCCTGCCTGAGCTCCACATATACTCCGCCTGTTATTGATATGTATACATAGATGTTGTAATCACTTGAATATGCATTTAATCACATCTGAAAATTGTATAAAAATGCTGATTTTGTGTGAAGCCTTTGAGCATGGCTTTACTGGCATCGTGGCATTCGGTGCCAACACTACAGCTCCTGGGGAAATCTGAGTAGCCTGAGAGTGTCAGAGTACGAGCATCTCTTAGGCTCATGATCCTGTGGTAAAGGGGAAAGCCAGGAATGAGATGCAACTGCAAGTTAAAGCAGCAACATTTGGGGAGGGGGGGTGGGGGGAAAATACATTAAAGACTTGATCTGAGACCACTGTTTTGATGACACACTTGCTGATAAGTCCAAAAAGAGATTTATCTGTTTTCATTGAGATTTTGACTTAGGTGCAGTTAGTGATCTGCTGTAACTCTTAAATCAGTCCTCTCTTCTGGCCAGTTTTTCTCTGTTTTGTCTCTGCTACTGAGCTCATTTTCTTTTCTCAAATGTGGTATAAAATTTGTATGTACTTCCCGAAGCTTTAAAGATTTAATAGGGTCTTGTGGAGTGCTGTTCAGTCGATGTGTGCATGGCACAGAGGAATTGAAGGGTAAAAGTTCTTTTAGAGGTGCTGAGGGTTATAGTCCTGTTGAAAGATTAGTGAGAAATTCAGCTACACGTTTGTCAGAATCCATAAAACTTGCCAAGACTGCAAGTATGTGATGTCTGGGCTTTGGTGTTGGCTAAGCACAGTGCAAATACTGGTGGGTACAAAAGCTGCAAATAAGAGGTTAGGTATAAGAAACACAAACCAAGCCAAAATCCAAGATGATGGAAGAGAAAGAAGCGTCCTGCCAAATACACCTCTTTGATTGTTCACTGACAGAAAAGACACTTTCCAGAAGAGATTGTCTTCCCAGATGCAACTATGAGAAGAAACCACATTATTGAACCAAAATCATATGCACATTGTGGGCTTATAATGATGTATAGAATATACAAAAAGTCAGAATTGGTGCCGTATTTCCTGCTAATTGTAGA